AGGAACCACCAGGAACCTTCAGGAACCTTCAAGAACCTTCAGGAACCATGAGTTCTTTACCAGCTGCTTCAGGTTCACGGTTCTCGGTGGGTATGAAGATAAAGCAGCGTTTCACTGTCGGGATAAAGAGCCGAACTGCAGATTCAGAACCACGTGTTTGGCACAAACAGCAGGTGTTTCAATCTGGAGGAACCTTTGCTAACAAGAGAACTGAGAAGCTAACGTTTTCAGAGTTTCACTTGGCCTTCTAGAGAACTTAAATTCTCGTAAATTCTGTCTCACATGTGTATTTATTATTTGAAGGAGTTTGATCTGAGGCTCTTGGAGACTGAAGCTGATATTTTGAAGGGGTTCCATCTCGTGTTTGGGGGTTCCTTTGCCTTGTTGGGGGTTCTACCAGTCAGATGGTGTGTTTTGGGGGTTCTGTCTCGTGTTCCTACCAGTTCACCGTGTTGGGGGTAAACTCTGTGTTCTCACAGATTCAATCTCGTGTTCTTCCAGGTTCTCGTGTTTGGAAGAAGTTCAGTCTCACATTGTTGGGAGATGAAATTTGTCTTGTTGGGGTTTGAAATATGTTCCCAAGAGTTCGGTCTCATGCTATCGGGACTTTAATCATTTGGTCTTGTGTTGGTAAAGCTCTCGTAGCTTTAATCTCACGGGTTCCACGTCACCTGGAAGTTAGATCTTCAACTGTTGAACTGGAACCAGAACATCTGGGAGTTCTGTTGAGAACCAAAACGACTTCTACAGTGAATGAACTCGTCCCAGCACTGTGTTTAGTTTCTATCAGGACGTAAGAAGGCCTCGGTCTGTCTGGATCCAAGCCTGCAGCCGGATCAGCGCCGTTTATCCCGACAGTGTGAAGCAGGAGAGTTTGTGCAGAATAAATCTCCCACGACGCGCCGCTGACGCTTCGACCACTCAGAGCAACGTACAAACAGGTGAAGCTCCTTCCTTTCCTGTTTGCTCTGCGATCTGATTGGCTGCTGTCGGGACCAGGATGTGATGCGAGCCCACGGACCCGACCGCCGCGTTAGCATGCTAGCGTGTTAATGCTAACGATGAGTCGGTGCCACGTTTTGAGACTCGAGTGTTTCTGAGACCAGACGGTTTAACGACGCTCAGCGGTTTGAACTGAAGCTTTATTTAACTTCACCTTCGTCGTTAGCGGGACGCAAACGAGCCGCAGACGAACCGACAAATAACAAACGTGTGGATTCAGGTGAGTTTGGTGAAAACTGAATTTAAACATGAGGCAGGTTTTTAAACATGTCGACTTTCTCATAAAATAAACTGAATTAAAGGCAGAATACAAAAATAACGACGAAGACAAAACAATAGAAAAACCTCATTAAGTTTGATTAAAAACGTTGAGCTTTAATGAATAAAGAAGCAGTTTAATTGTTGGTGTTTAAAGAAGATTGGTGTTGAACGCGTTTCTATTTTGACGTGAATCACAACGATAATCTGATTAAACTGTTTTAATGCACAATAGAGTTAATTCATTATCAGCCTGAACGATTGAAACTCCAGTTACGACTAAAATCTTCTGCTGCAGCAAAGGAAACATTCACCAAGAAACTACATGAACTTGACTTTTTATTCTATTTGTAGTTTTAACATTTTTTAACTGCTACACAAGAAAAACTCCCAAAAGCTTTCAGGAGATCGAAGGAATTTGTTCTTCCGCTGTCATTTTAAAGCCACTACTTTTCTTTTCGCTCGCGGTCGTCGTGAAGAAGAAAACGAAGTTCTGAAATCGGCTCACGTTCAACAGAGCAGGCGGGAGGTCACATGACACCTCTGGTCCAATCAGCAGCGGCGTCAGAGCAGAAAACACTGGTTCGACTTATGAAGTCAACAAAACAAACAACAATATAAAATAATAATAATACAAAAGAAATAAAAAGCTCCTCGTTACAGAGATATGAACAGAGACGATAGCGTTTGTCCTTCTGCAGGTAGAGTACCACCTCCTCTCCTCCGCTCAGCTCACCATAAGAAGATTATTAACATTATTCTCATTATTAATATCTTACAAAAACAAAAATCAACAGTGCAATAAAAAGGTTCTGGATCCCTCGCTCGGCCGGAGAGAGAGAGAGAGAGCGACGGCGAGGGGGCGGGGCTTGGCGACCAGGAAGAGAAAGAACATCCAAAATGAAGAAAAGAGGAAACAGGAGGACGAGCAGTTTACAACAGACAGGAAGGATTATAGAAAGTGAAGGATGGACGGGGGGGCGGGAGAGGAGGATCATGGGAGACCGGCACCGATCCACACAGCAGCTAACGGGCTAACGATGCTAACGATGCTAAACGCGTGTTTCTATGGCCGTCAAAGGAAAACGAGGTCTGCAGGTTTCTGGATGATGATTCAAAGTCCTGCAGATGGAAACCGGTTCTGATGGAAGCTGCTGTTTGGATCCGTGAAGATGCACCGACACCAACGGTTCTGCTCGGAATCGGGTTCTATCGTAGCGCTGAACGTCTCAGTTAATTTAGTTCTGCTGCTCCAGGTCGAGGTGTTTCTGAGAAGGTCAGCTTCCAGAAGAAGAGCTTTGAGCTGCAGACGGATGGTTTAGTGAAACAGAGACGCCTCGTCACACCTCCACATTAACTTCTATTCCACCTGCAGCCTTCAGAGGTTTGTCCTGAAGACGGTTCAGGCTGTGAAGAGAAGAACGAAGCTCTGAGGAGAACATCCAGCGTAGGGTCTGATCAGAACTCGTTAGCTTCCTGTAGTTTCTCAACAGCGTCTGTTTCACTAAATGAAGCCGTCAGGAAGCTTCCAGCTCATCGTGTGACTCTGGATTAAACTCTGGATTAAACTCTGGTTTAATCAGAGCTGCAGGAGGTTATTTAAACCCGACTCTGAACACCACTAATCAGATGGTTGGAGATGTTTAGAGGTTGAACAACAACCACCTCTAACTAGTGGTTAATACCAGCAGAGGAAACGCTTCACTACGTCCTCGACTCAGACGTGGACTTCATGCTGCTGCTTTACAACCTCATGGACGAGAAGATTTCTAAACTTTGTGTTCGTCTGGAATAAAACACCTTTTTTTTCTGATTCGAGACAGTTTGTAGACAGAAGCTGGAGGTTGAATTAAAAACGGCCGATAAAAGCTTCTGAGTAATGATCTCCAGTCTCTGTGTTTTACTTTAGAACCAGGTGGGAAACCTGGACGGGCAGACGTGAGCAGCTCTTTGGTCTGAGTATCAGTGCATCCAGGTGAGCGTGACGACGGGGAGGGGGGGATGGTGGGAGGGGGAGGCAGGGGGAAGTGGGCGTGGCCTGCTGTGATGTCATTCCTCAGGAAGTCCTCTTGGTCCGGGAGTGCTGGATCAACCACTGCAGGGTGATGTCTGCAGAGAGAAGAGGAGCTGATCAGAGGACAGTCAGACGTTTGGTTTGGACTCCTGTTCTGATCAGACGTCTATGAACAGAACCCGGTCAGCACAACACTGAAACAGAACCTGATGGGCTTCAGCCTTCAGCTGGTTGGAACTTTTACCACAAACTTCAGAATAAAACTGGATTTAACACAAACTGGACTCACGATGCTGCAAATTACAGCATATAAACTGTGTGTGTGTGTGTGTGAGTGTGTGAGTGTGTGTGTGTGTGTGTGTGTGTGTGTGTGTGTGTGTGTGTGTGTGAGCTACCGATGTTGTCTTTCTCCTTGCAGGAGATGGAGTAGCAGCAGATCTCTCTGTCCTGGATGGCCGACAGGTTCCTGATCACACACAGGCAGCAGTTAGACGATGACGACAACAACAAGAACAACAAGAACAACAACAACGACAACAACAACAACAAGGAGGCGGCTGCTGGACTCACATCCTCTCTATGAGCTCCTTCTCATCCAGAGCTCCTGGCAGGTCCCTCTTGTTCCCCAGAACCAGAACCTGAGGAGCAAACATCAGACTCTCTGTGATCACATGATCTTCGTCCTCAGAGGCTCCAGACTGTAGTCGTCTGACAGCGACGTGACGGAGAGCTGAAGCTCCCCTCAGCTGCTTTGATCGTTTACTGAGAGAACGTTTACATCCTCTCAGAGCCAACAAGAGACCAACGATTCTACTGTTTGGTTCAGTTTTCACTCTCACTGAGACAGATCGCCA